ATGCCTCCGCACATTTTCTTTTTCTTCCTTTTCCAGTTGTTGGCTTCGCAGTTGGATCCCAAATAAGAAGAGATTGGTGAACTAACTCACCTTTTATTTGATTACTGTTTCTATTCTGAAAAACGACAATTGCTCCAAAAATTACAAGCATAGAGCCTCTTCTTCTTTCATAAACTATTCCATTCTTTGGAACCCAGGTTAAACATCGATTATGTTGCATATGGCAATATGATTCTTCAAGGAAAACCTCTGGAAGTGTGGGTACGTCATTTTGACCTTGAATGTTTTTGAAATGCCAACGGAGATAATATGTCCGATATGTTATATTTTGAGGAGATTCATAAAGAATATTTTGCCATTCCCCTTTACCATAGTGATAACCAAGCATTTTTAAGTAGCGTGCAAGATAGGCTTTTGAAATAAAAAAGCCTAAATCAGATAATTTTAGGACCAGTGTTCGAAGGGTGGTTGGAATATCATCTTTGTTCGCAGAAAAAATAAGGTTATGAATAGCACTTAAGTATTCTTCTTGAAAGTCTTTGGAAATCCGGTAACCTTGTATTGATGCTTTAACCTTTCCAGTTTTATTATATTCAGCAAGAATACAGGCAACAGTTGCCTCACCAACTCCAGTTGCCAAAGAAACTTCTTTGCGAAGGTTAGTGGTCTGATGTGATTGCAGGTTAACACTAAGTATATTTTTCTGAATATAGTAATAAACAGATATAATTATAAGCTTCTCATTACTAGTTAAAGCAATAATATTGCATTCACTTTGATCCATAATAAAAACAGGATAAGTATTATGCGAAGTATAGTAATTTTCTTAAATTTTTATTCTAACGGATAAAAAATTAAATACATTTTACCAAGGAACAGGTACAAACTCAAGATTTATTCACATGATACGAACGAGAAGGTATTATGATGGTTAAGTATTTAGTAAGGGATAGATATCATGATTTTTAAATGAGATAGAAGATAAGAAAAAGGGAAAAACTAATAATGACAGGTCTGGGTCTTGATATCTGCTTGATTTATAATGCCAATTCACTATTGCTCACATGTTTACCTAATCTATAACATTTCTATCGCTAAAAGCCTGTTATTAATATTATTCAAACTAAATAATGAAATTGATAAACATTTTTTTTAGATTTCTACTATGCTATTTTTGTATTAGTCATTGGTGTGAATACCCAAACAGATAGGGCAACAAGCATTCACATTGTTGTCGTCACCGGCAAGTCTATCGCTAAAATGGCTTACTCTTTGCATGACAATAATCTGAACGCTGGAATTTTGACACTAAATAAGGTAAGGCTTTAACTCCGAGGTGGATTACAATTTGATCGACTTTTGCGCACTTGCTAATCTCTTCTTGACTGTTGCTCTCTCTCTCTAGGCATGTCTCAAGATTACAAGTGTCACTCTCTTATGGTGCACAACGGTAACATCACGTCTCTTCCTAAAGGCGTTTACTTTACTCTAGTGATGGGGACTCAATTTATACTTTAAAGAATGTACAATATATTGTTTATTGTGCAAAGCGGAATAGCATTTATTTAATAAAACACGAGTGTGCCAAAAACAAACAAGCGTTCTAAAACAAAACTCTAAATCGCAGACCTCGAACTTCCTAAAACTCACCTCTAAGACTATATAAACTATCCTAATTATATGCCTTGTTGACACGTCTCTCCCATTATATGTTATTACTTATTATTACATCATTTTTCCATCAATGTTATTATTATTGCGCATTGTGATACAATATCGCGTTACTGTTCCTATTGTTCTCATAACAACATGTATGCTTAAGAATCGACTCCGCAACAGGCTATCGACATGTCTGGATTATACATTCATTATGTTTTGAATAGAATAAATAGGGTAAAGTTTTGTAGGACCAATGTTCCAAAATGGGGTGACATGGTCAATGTGGCTTCACATGTTTAGGTGATTGTCTAATTCCTGATACAACCAATCATATTAAAAATTCGTTAATTTAAAAGCCACAAATTTAAATAAAAAAAAAAGGAAGAAATTGATAGTCAAGTGTCATGTTGTCGATAATGTTGGACTATACACTTGCGTAGTAGCATCACATGATAAGGCTTTTTGATTGAGTTTATTTTATGAGGAATAAATGTAATATATCAATAATCAATTTTATAATCTTTAATTTAATAATTTTTATTTGTTGGCATTTTTTATTATGAAATTGTATTGACTAATGGTTTTTTGGATTTAAAAGATAAAAGTATAAAGATTATTATTTATTATTTGATCAAAAGTAAGTTATTTTCAAAAAATAAAAATATATTATTTTAAATAAATTATATAGTTTTGATGTATCATCATTTATGAGATGACCTATATTTATTATAATATCTATGGGTCTGTAGCATAATGGTAATGTTCCATAGGTCACCAGGGAAAGATATAGGGTTCAAACCCACCTGGTTACAAAATTTATTACCTTTATGATTGATTGACTGGCTTTCAATTCATATTATATCCAATCAGTCGAAAATTACATCCAAATTCAGTTAGGCTGTATGAAGATGGGACCTCTGGTTTTTCTGATGATCACAGGCTGAAAACAGGTTGAAGCACAGAAGGTTGCATGAGAAAAGGCTTCTGGTCTAATTCTGGTAAAAGTCCACAAAATCTCAACCCAAACTGTCAACAGCAGACTCCGTCACACAACTCAAAGAGGTTAATTCTAAACCGATCTATCCCAATATGGAGCTTGTTGGTCTATCCCAATTGTGATATTCCACAGAACTTAATCATATGACTAAAGAGCAAGGTATTAGCCACAGGTGGTGACAATCTAAGCAAAAATTGTTAAGTCAAGTGTATTTAGTGAGGGCCACAAACAAAATTAAATCAGAATCCAAGCAAGAATATCAGTTCAACAGGTGATGAAAACGGTAGTGCTACACTACGCTAGTAATACATCCCGAGGATCGATAATAACAGGTGACTGGTATAACTGGGGTTAATCTCTATAATAACATATCATTACACTGCTCTCTGTAATATGAACTTAGTAGATTTAGAAGGATTTAAACTAATGGTAGGATTCCCCTTCTGCAAAAAGTCTCACCTGACATGTGGACACATCTCCGGGTGTTTAAATGAATGCATAGTTGGGTTATAAGTGGTTGGTATAGCTAGTCTTATAGTAATATAGGTACTAGGCAGTGTTAATCTGCAGATTAATTTATAAAGACATAACAGGTATCCATATATCAACCGATTTCCGGTTAATTTGTAGAAACACTTGGTGTCTGCCTGGATATAAATGTATTATGATAGAATAGATAACTTAGTTTTATTTTTACTTATTTTTATCGAATTATTATTAGTTTATTTTTAGCAATAGGATT